GAATTGACGGCCTTTTGTTCTATTTTATCAGCCAATTGTTGTGCCTCTCGAGGAGGTTCCGAATGAAGTCAAATGCCTTGGCTGTTTTTGTATTTCATGCTGGTCTTTGTGAATGTTTTGTACAGACAGGTCTTGGGTTGTACACTTTGTAAATATTGTGTATCTGGACTGGCATGTTTATGAATATATATATATATATAAGTTTTAAATCTTCTGTCCCATGTACGTTACCACAGCTCATTGGACATTGTCTATTATGTATTAATGCTTCCGCAACCCCTTATTAATTGCTAATCTGTACAGAGGCCTTTGGTAATCTACGGATTACTGGCCGGTTACGGTGATAACCCTACAGGGGCGGGTTTGGGTCGTGACAACTATGGCGTGGTTTGACTCATGAGAATTAGCCACTCCGTCAAAAAGTGGGGGTACGATTGGCTACCTGCTCTCTCTCACTTGGGTTTTAAACATTGTTTGGTTTGTCTCTAACCAGCCTGTTCGAACCAGAATTTCATGCCACTGAGTTGTATACAGTGTGACTAAAATATCGCTAATGAATCTTTTGTTAATGAAGGCCTCTACATTACTCACGAATCACGACTGATAGGGTCTGTTCTCACAACTCCAACCCATTCTTCTTAGCCTTGTTTTTGTAGAGACTATGTGTTGAATGACCACATTCCCTGTTGGTGATGTGGATTATTTTCACTTTTTATGTGACTAGTTCCTTGTCATTGGTTGGTGCTTTACATTCTTGTCTCATTTACTCATCTGCCTTAACATCCTCTACTTAGTTACTCTTCTATATTAAAAGAGTCTCCTCTTTATTTGTCTCACTTTGATCACATGTCATACCAGCACATCCAGTCCTTTATTTCTTCCCCTCTGCATGATCCTTGATGGTCTACTACATGTTACGTGGGGTTGGAAGTTGGGTATGAGTGTCAGGTATAAGAAGCACGGACACGACACGGATACGACACGACACAGATACGACACGAACGCGCCGACACGTTAATTCTCAAAAAATGTAGGACACGACACCTAGGAGACACGCATGAAATATATAATTTTATATATTTATTATATGTTATATTTATAAATATATCATTCAAAGATAATAAAAAATGCAATATGACACTAATTCCTATAAATTTATATGGGTTTTGTGTTATTATTGTATCTTAAATTATTTTGTTCAAACTTATAATTAGTTTCACATGTATCTAATTGATAGACACATGTGTTTAAGCGATTGAACAAAACAATTTATTCTGCTTCTAAATTTTGTGTGTGGTTTGACTCATGAGAATTAGCCACTCTGTGAAAAAGTGTGCGTATGGTTGACTACCTACTACCACTCACTAAGGTTTTAAATATTGTTTGGTTTGTCTCTGACCAGTCCCTTCGAACCAGAATTTCATGCCATTGAGTTGCATACAGTGTGACTAAAATATCGCTAATGAATCTTTTGTTAATGAAGGCTTCTACATTACTCACGATTCACGACTGATAGGGTCTGTTCTCACAACTCCAATCCATTCTTCTTAGCCTTTTTTTTGTACAAACTATGTGTTGAATGACCACATTCCTTGTTGGTGATGTGGATTATTTTCACTTTTTATGTGACTAGTTCCTTGTCATTGGTTGGTGCTTTACATTCTTGTCTCATTTACACATCTGTCTTAATATCCTCTACTTAGTCACTCTCTTCTATCTTCAAAGAGTCTCCTCTTTTATATGATACACTTTGATCACATGTCATACTAGCACATTCAGTCCTTCATTTCTTCCCCTCTACTTGATATACTTGATGGTCTTCTACACGTTACATGGACTTGGAAGTTGGGTATGGGTGTCAGTCTATAAAGCACGGACACCTCTCCGAGGGCTCCGTACCAGTGTCGGACACGTGTCGGACACGGACACGCGTCGGACACGCGGTGGACACGTGTCCGACACGTAGCAGAGAGTGTCCCCTTTTTTATTATTTTTTTACATCCAGACACGTTCTGGACACGTTTGGACACTTTGGGACACGTTCGGAGGTACTATCATAATTTACAAAACTTTTTTTGGGGTCGATTTGTAAAATAACAAAAATAGAGCAATGTCTGCGGCATTCGATTAGAACAAAAGTGAAAGGGAGAGAAAGAGAGGACTTGGTCACTTTTCAGTGGTCGCTCGTCGTAGCTCATAGCTCATAGCTCGTCGCTCGTCATCCGTAGCTCGTCGTCGCTCATCGTAGCTCATCTCGTCGTCACTCGTTAAGGTACGCTGCTCTTCTTCGTTCTTCGATCTTCTTCTTCTTCATCCTTCTTCTCCGATCTCTCTCTCTCAGTCACTCTCTCTCTCTCTCTCTCTCTCTCCCTCTCAGTCTGATTTTATTTGTTCTTTTATTTTTTTTCCTTTTATATATTGAGTGATGTTGATCCCCCTCTCTCTCTCTCTCTTCGATTTTTTTTTTCTATTTTCTTTTTCGGTCTTCAATTTTTTTTTTCTATTTTCTTTTTCTTATAATATATATAGATATATATATTATATACTAATAAATATACATATATATTTATATACTAATATAGATACATATTTGAACAAAAAAAAATTCTTACTAATATAGATACATATTTGAACAAAAAAAAAATTCTTTTTTTTCCTCTATTCTTTTTTTTCTATTTTTTAGATATTATTATTTGCTTAAATAAATTATATTTATTTATAGAAAAATTTTAATTTGTGAATAATATTTGATATTAACATAAATAAATAATATTTATATTTTTTAATTGTACATATAATAAACAAATAAAATTATATATATCGAACGTGTCCCTAGCGTGTCGTGTCCCCTATTTTTTGAAAATTTGCGTTTTCCCGTGTCCATGTCCATGTTCGTGCATCATAGGTGTCAGGTATGGGTGCATACGTAGAGATCAGACCCATCAAACCTCAAATTTAAAGGGTATGTGGACTTGAAAAAAAAAGTTTATATTTTATATTTTTAATTTATCATGTAAAGTATCGGACGGACACATATCCCACAACTTTGTCCAAATGTCAGGTGTTTGACATGGATATTGGTCAAACTTCATTTTTCGATGAATTCAATTAATGAAGATGTTTGGATTCGCTCCATTGGTAATTGAAGATAGTCTTTGTTCACAGTGATGTGTTTAAGAAAAAAATGTGAATAACAACTCCTCACTATGGGCTCTCCATTTATGATGCCTTTTTGATTTGCTTTGTAGTGTTTTGACCTCGTGCTTGTTAATAATTGCTTTGAGTGGATTCTTCCAGAATATTTACTATTTAAGGGAAAATTATAAACTTGTTCATCTTGATGCGATCTAATGTAGGTCAGTGCAGCGGGTGATCTGTGTGCTATCTGCCAGGAAAAGATGCCTGCTCCAATCTTGTTACGTTGTAAACACATATTTTGTGAAGACTGTATATCGGAATGGTTAGTTTTCTATCCTCTGCTTAGCTTGTTTTTTGTGTGCTTCGGTGTATTTTGTTCAGCGAAGCATTCATGTACTTCAAATTGTTATTATTTAATGAATTTTTGGTGGATGTGCTCTTTGATTGCTTTCCATTTATAGCATTTTGTGTTCTTTTGATAAAATACGGTAAAATATCCACCTCTCCAAACAAGAAGCAAGTAGGTGGAGAACCTGTTTGGTGGATTGCTTAACTAGTCGCCCAACCCCTCTTGGACTTGAAAATTGGAAGCCTAACAGTAATATAGTATTTTGGGGCTCTAATAAATGCGCTCGAAGTCTATCACTAGAAAATGTATGATGAAGAATTTCTCAACGCAGCATTAAGGGTGTGTTTGAATCAAGGATTTGAGGAGGGGGATTTGTCATGGAAAGGAAAAAGGAAGGGAAAAGTGAATGAAAGTCTTTTCCCTTTTCTTTTCCTTTCCCATCACAAATCCCTCCTCAAATCTTCGATTCAAACACAACTGAAAGGTGTGGAAGTTGAATGCCTAGGCATCGTAGTTGGCCTCAGTTGTATGTGTTGGAGTTGAGAGAGTTTGCTCAATGTGTATGGTGTGTCTGTTATTAGTAATTGAATGCTATATGGCTTTAAAGGTTCCTATAAAAAAAAAATGCCATGAAATGGATTGAATACGAAACTTAGTTTCATTACAGCATCAGAAATCCTTACCCCTGGTCTCACATACACATAGGTGACATTGCTTGATAATCAACATGTAGAAAACAGAGTGCCATTAGAGATAAATTGTTCACGGGCATTGTTTTATTCTACTGATTTAATTGCAGCAATGACCATAGCCTATTTGGTATCATTTTCATGTTTAATTACAATAATACTATCATTATGACTTTGTGGTGTATTATGTTCATTCAAAGCAAAGTTCTATTAAATAGATGGAATTTGATTGTGATTTCAGAGTGCCATTAACGGCTACACTGAATCTATCAAAACATGAATTTTCTACTTCCAATTTCTGTATGGGATAAAAAAGAGTCCTGTGTTTCCAGGTTCGAGAGGGAAAGAACATGCCCACTATGTAGAGCTTTGGTGAAACCTGCAGACCTAAGATCATTCGGTGATGGATCGACTAGTCTGTTTTTCCAGTTATTCTGAAAACATCAAGTACTGTCTTGTTCGGGGGAGATTTTTCTTCTTTGAAGCTTAAAACCCTTGCTCAAAGTAGCCATCTCCTTATCATGTCAACATCACAGGTAAAATCTGACCAAATCCGGCACAGCCCAGTTCTTGGGCCACCGCTGGAAGTTAGTGTTGTATGTTGTATTAAAAAAAGTTGTGTTTGTAATTGGGGCCTTTGCTTTGAGGTCCAACAATATATGTACCACACTGTCCGGTTGCCGTAAATGAAAGCTTTCCAATAAATGTTTTGTTGCCTTGCAATGCATTAAATGTATTATATTCTCATATCAAAGAGCTTCAATGATGGTTTGGATGTTTTGCAATGTTGTTACATAAAAAAATTGAGTTCTGTGCCTACTGTGATGGATGGAGAAATGAGTAACATGAGTTTGACACGGGGTATGACTTTACATGATAAGAATGGTGATGGACTGAGAGATGAGAAACATGACACAGGGAATGATTTTACATGATAAGAATGGTGCTTGTTTGTTGTATTCGTTTTGCTCTGTTCAGTTTTTAGTTTTTGTGGCATATTACAGAGCTGTGTGTTGGAAGTATTGGTCACCTTTGTACAAAAATGTAGATGTACTTCATATTGCCAGAATCAGGGCAGTGCTTGGTTGATATCATTCAGTTTTCAACTTTAAAGCTTCCCTTCCTTTACCTAGGGTTTTATTAATGAGAAAATTGTCTCTCGCTTTATCTAGGGAGGCCTTCTAGCTGTATATCTCGACCTTTGTTAATTTTGCCATTTAATATTAGGTTAGTTAGATATATGGTGATTAACAACTGCTGACAATAGGCTTGAGAATTAGATTCTAACCACTCCATGATCTCACTTCCAATCCCCAATGATTTTCGAGCCCTGGTCCCCGCCCCGACTAGCCTCGATGTAAAATTACATGTATACACCCTATTTATATATATGTTTATGTTTAGGGTTTGGTTGAAAGAAGAGAGAGGTTCTTTCCGCTGCTCTCACTCTTACTCTCACCGCCGCTGTTCTCTCTCTCTCACACACACACGAGTCTGATAAACCAACCCAGCAGTGAATGATATCACAGATTAAATATCACCCACATAAATCACAGTGCAAATGACTTGATCGTTGTTTTTTGGGAGAGAGTCAGTATATGGTTAGAAACAGATCATACGTTGTTTCTCTCTGATTACCCATAACCATATATCAGAATATAATATATTATTATATCTATCCATATCAGTTAAAACTGATAATATCTGTATCTTGAGTGGTTATCCTAAATAGGTTGAATTCAATTTCAAAACCTATTGGATAGGATTCCAAATTCAAATTCAAATGGTCATGCCACATGGGCGCCATTACTAACATCTCCCACTCGCACATGAGTTGGCATGACACTGCCACATCTCTATCTTAATCTCCCAAAAATAAACAATCTCATACTAGCCACTGCACCGTGCGACTGCTGAGAACACCTGCATGTGGGAGCGCTATACTAGAAACTCAAAATGAGCCAGCATAGAGACATCAACCCAAAAGGAACAGAAATAGTGTCTCATATACCCCAGACCCATCTATTACACCGGTCCAAAAAAAAAAAACATCTCTAATCCCTCAAAAAGAGCATGTTTGACCCTCTCAATTCTTGCAATATATTCACACTCAATTCGCCTCTCATACAGAGCGATATGAGTTGCCGACAGTGAATATACAATAGTGGTGTAATACTAGATGATCTTCCCTTTGCACTCATGCCATTTAGTTTAGGATTGACCGTTTCTCCAGTGATGTCCCTTAAGGCCGAATCATGCATGACCGCAGGCAACATACCAAAGTAGCAGAACATCAACCCCTTACCTTATGACATAGTCAAAAGTCACAAAAAGGGTACATAAATGAAAGTCATATCAATAATGACACGTAAGACTCACACCGGTGAGGAAGCAGGGATCCATTCTCTCACCTCATTACTCGGTCGCCAAGCACATATAGTATGAATACATGCTACAGTGGAGTAACTCTTCCATAAAGAGTGATGTCATACTCGATACACCGACAGATATTAGTCTAGTCGCTTTTCTAGCGCCTAACCCGAATTCTCTATTTTGCTCGCCTTCTAGGCGCCAAATCTCTTCTCTT